TTCTGTGCAATTTTTTCATCTCAGTTGTAATCTCCCTGGGCTTCCCATCACCAATGATAATGTTCTTTAAACTCTACCTGACTTGTTGGATTCATGTCCATTTCTGCTCATCTTAGGTGCTCACCTTTTATAGTTTTTTTCCAGTGGGGTGATGAGTCTTCCAGGGCTGCAGTGGTTATATGTTGGTCCATGTGGGGCCTAAAGCATGATAATGGTTCATAGGCAAGAAAGTTTTAAAAAGAGGATATTGTATCTCTTAAGAGCATTCCTCTTGTTACAGGCTTTTGTCTTTCACTTGTGTGTCTGTAGTCTGTGGGTGTTCTTTGGTTCTGCTTCCTTGTGCCTAGTTTTTGTGCCATCTTGGCTGTATTTCAGAGCTCTTCACCCCAGGAACCAAAAGACCCAACTTGTTTCCCATCTGTACTACTCCTCTGATCTTCCATAGCTCTGAAACACAATGCAGTGCTTCTTCTCACTCAACTCTTTCCGGGTTTGTTCTGCAGCTGTGGAGTTTGAATGTTAGTGTTTAAACAAGCTGGTATTACACAGGAAATGGCCACCTCCACAGGCCCCTGCAGGCTTGTAACATGGGGTCATTGTACTTGATATTAATCACCAGTCAGCCTGTTCCCCCAGTAAAAATATGAAAGGGTGTGTGAGGGCTCAGTCTTCCTTAGACTTGACAGAAGGATGTCCTGAGCCCTTGTCAGGCCTTCGCACTTACTCTTTCTGGATTGTCTCCCTCCCTCATCCCACCTCAATACAGCTTGCAGCGAAGTTCCCACCTGACCTCCTCCCTAAAAAGCTGGCTGATCGCCTTTCTTCCTAAGTTCTCGGAAGGAGCTAGAATGCTGTGGTACAATTAGCTTCACATACCTCACACTTTAATCTTTCAGAGCATGTTGTAGTTGAGTAACATCTTTTACGAGAAAATGCCAAAATTGTAGAACTACAGAAACCCACTGGTCTGAGACTGGGTTTTCTCAGTTTCTTGCACTGAAGCGGCTTATCTAATGCTGTTTGCAGAACTAACCCTTTGACTGAAGGGTTAATCTGATTCCCCGAGTCAATATCCCCCCAACAACCAGCCAAGAGTGTGTGTTGGTTCATTTCTGTGAAATGTGTTTCCCCAGTCACCTGGGCTGGCCTGGGCTGCATTGTATCGGCCAGCAGCTGCACTACACTCAAACTGACAGCTACATTAAACCTTGGAATTCTGAGGCAATAAAAAGTAAATTAACTCTTATTTTTTTCCTTTCCTGCTGGAGTAAGTGAATGCATGTCTGTGGGGGGAAGTGAGTGAGCCTTGGTCCTGAGTGCATACCTCCAGCTAGCCAGTGCTGGTCTGTCCCAAGTCAGGATCTGGAGTTCAGACTCGAGCCAGGGGTCTGCTTTCCTGGTGTGTGGTGTGTTCTGTGGGGTTGGGCCACTGGGTCACCCTGCAACTGCTGATCCCTGCTCACTAATCACATCACAGCTGCTGAGAGGCTCCCTTGCCACCATGCTGAGAGCCATAAACGGACTCATTGGACACAGTTTCATATTCTCTGACTGCTTTGTGTCTGCTTGGTGAAGAGTGTACCCTAATTTTAGTAGACTCTGGAAGCTTCCCCCAAACATGTGTTGAGACTAGAACAAGCCAAAGGGATTTTCCCAAGCCTATAGCACTCTGGAGGGTGCATTTAGGGCCAGAGGTGATTTGAGACTGTCCAAGCATTTCCAGAAGATTGTGAACTGTCTGAAACCCCTTTGCCACCCACGATTAGATGTTGGAATCCTTAGATCCCAAAGGTTGCTGTGGGTGAAGTTTGAGTGGGCTCTCCTTGCTGGATAGGAAAGTAGGGCAGAAAACTCAATTAAGCTACTCAGACAGGAAACCCTGTATTCACCCACAGAACTGACCTCTCAGCCCAGAGGCCTGGTGGGGGTAAGCCGAGGTGATAGTGCCTGGGTTTCATGAAATACCTCATCTTTTTGCAAATATTTACATTTTTGAATTCAGGTATCTCACCTAGTTGTTTTTTTTTTTTTTAAAGTATCTCTTTCTTTTAGCAGTAGTTTCTTTATACCCCCACCTCTCTCATTCCCTGTAGAAATTCACTGTGTAGCCCATGAGTACCTAGTTGTGTTTGTTGCTCAGTGAGAGATGATGAAATGTGAGGTAAGCATGGGAAACTCTTCCTGAGATAACCAGGAGACAGCAGCTACTTAGAAGCAGAGTTCAAACACAAAAGACTGGTCTGAACAGATCAGAAGTGACCTTTCAGGCATTTTTTTTTAATACTCCCATGGTTCTGCTCAGCCTGGCTTGACCATTGGGCCACTTAATTTTTCTGAGTTGGGAACTCAGGACATTTCCTATGTCCTTTGGCACCAGCTACCGTTTTATAGTCAACACTGGGATAGGAACTCTCATTCACTTCATTTTTGCAGTCAGTTTTAGATTTTGGCACAAGGTAGGTGGTAATGGGCAAAAGGCAGATGTGGGTAGGGGTGCCTAGTAGTGGCCAGCAATCTCTGGGAGGAGTCATTTTTGGTTTATCTGAGCCTTAGGGGACAGGAGAGCATGATAATGAGAACCACATGGTACCACATATTTCTTCCTCTTGGATCCAAGATGGTAGGGGTGGGAGGATGAGAGAGGGGTGTGGGGCCTCCCACTGTGGCAGCCGTGGGTAGTTTTCTGCCGCCTCTCCCTGGCTGGGGATGCTGCTGCCCACGGCCCCCCTCCCTAGCCCCCAACAACGTCCTGCAACAGCCTTGACCTGCCCAGCACCAACCAAGGCCCCCAAGCCAAGAATTCAGCTGGGAGACTTTTCACCTTCTTCCTTCTCACTGTCGTCTTTCCTGTTTATTTTCCAAATTGCTGCTCTGCAGCCGAGCAATGCCTGTTGGCCAGAGCTCATCAGCGCTGTGGGATCAGACTCAGGCAGTGGGCTCAAGTGGCCAGCAGGGCACTGGGGGAGGAAGCGGGGAGCTGGAAGAGCCTCCCTGCGCGTCTCCCATGGGCAGCGCTAACCTCAGAGGCGGCCCTGAGCAGCCCTATCACATCCGGTGCTTGTCTCTGCAGCCGGGACTGGAGGATAAACTATCAGAGCTGTGGGGCAGTGCATCATTCCTCTTATTATTTTCTTCTCTGCAGATGGGGTCGTGGAAAGTTCAGTTCCTTTTAACCCTCAAAGTTCTGTTTATTCTACAGCTGGTAGCCTGAATGCTGCGTTTCCCATTACATCACAAAGGGGCTCAGGCAGATCTCTGCACAGAAACGTGTTGCAACTGTTTATTTTTTTCCATATTTAAACATTTCTGACAGCCAAACCCAGCCGAGCCAAAAGATGGAGCTTTGTGAATGAGTCTCGTTGTCTGTGTCTGTGCAGATAGAGGCTTTAGAAAACTCCCATCCCTTTGTCCCTCCAATGATTCTTCCCCAATACGTGCTTTTCCCTGGGCAAAGCCTGTGAAGTGAGTTACTTCTGTCATACACGTGTGTTGATTATGTGCCGTTGTGTGATTAATGGGACTGTGTTCCGCCTGGTTCCCAGGACACTCTTGAAAACAAGATGTTTCATTTCATTGCCTTTTCCTAGTGCAGTGATTACAGTAAATAAACCAGTGCAGCCTTCTTTCACCTGGATGCAGTCAGGGAGTCCCCATACTTCTCCCACTTCCCACCCCGGCGTCACGTTCAGTAGCGTGTCCTTTGAATGCCTACTTTTCTGCCATCTCCTAGAGGTCCCTAGTCTCCAGGAGAAACAAATTGCTGAGGTCTGAGACTCCTCCCTAACAGATTTGGCTCATGCGCAGTAACTCTCTGGGAAGATTCCAGGATATAGCTCATTCGTATAGCTCTCTGCTGCTTTCCTCTTGCAGCTCCACCTCTTGAACCTAGTTTTAAGCTTTTCTGTGTATTTCTCTTGTGCATCTTACTCCTTTTGGAGTACAACTTCTCAGCCATTTGGGTAATGCCTGTTCCATACACCCTAGTTAGGTGGTCTTCCGGAGAAAAAGCCAGAATGTGTAGACTTGGCAGGCCCTGGAGCTGACCCCAGTTTGGCTAGTTGAGCTGCGTCCTAGGAAGGCAAAAAGAAAATTATCATGCTCTTTAACACCCACCAAAGTGTGATCTGAACCAGAATCTTTTTACAATTCTGTCTTGGAGTTTGAAGTGGGGAGAACTAGACTTTGTATTCTCAAGCTTTCTTCTTAGCTTCAGTCACAATCTGGTGATATGTAATCATCTGGTTCAGCCATCTTGATTTACCCAGGAATGAGGTGTTTCTGGAAAAGTGGGGCTTTCAGTGCTAAAACTGGAACAGTCCCAGACAAACCAGAATGGTTGGTCACCCACAGCCTTCCACAGCTGAGGGGATCGAGTGGGAAGTGGGGTGGTAAAGATAGCACTGAGCTTTACCTTCCTGGGATGATCTTGGCAGGCCAGGAATGAGGTTTTTGTTGGGGGAGCGTTTGGTTTTTTGTTTTCCTGCTTATATATAGGAGAGTTCTAATGCATTGTTGGGGTGTGGGAAGGGGACACCTCTCTGGTGGTAGTGTGATGGTCCCTCTGGCTATGTGGGTGGAAGGGCAGTTGGTACTCCATTGCTATCTGTGTGGCATGTACTTGATTGGATGAGAGTTGGGGAATTCTGAGAGATGCCTTAGGCCCTGTTTGTCTAGTGTTTGAGTAAGTGACTCAGGCACACTGCCTGGAAGGGTGACAGGACCTGCATTAGGCAACTGATTCTCTAAATTCCTTTTCCTCTCTGGCTAGGATTAAAAACTCCTCCTAATCAATTTCAGAACCATCAAAGCAAAGATGAACAAGCAAGCACCACCAGGTTGCTGCCATAGGGGTAATTTTGTATCTTAGTTTTTGGGGTAAGATCTCTGGCAGATTACCAGCCATAGACAATATTTATCTGTAAAAGTATCTTCCTGCTTTAGAAAACTGTAACTGGTACTTCTTTAGAGCCACTCTTCTTTTCTTACCTTATTTCTCACAGGGTTGCTGTGGATGTGTGGTCAATGCTGGCTGATTTCTGTAACATATTGACTGCCGTGAATCAGTCTGAGGTGCCACTGTACAAGGATCCGGATGATGACCTCACCCTTCTTATCCTGGAAGAAGATCGGCTTCTCTCGGGCTTTGTCCCCTTGCTGGCAGCCCCTCAGGACCCCTGCTACGTGGAGAAAACCTCGGATAAGGTCAGCCCCAGGCCAAACATCCCTCCCCTTTCACCCCTCCTCTTAATTCTCCAGACTTTTTTATTCTTGGGAAGTTTTCTGTGCAAACGGAACATGATTAAGTCATTGAGAAGGGTGTTAAGGGAAAATATCGACCTTTTAGCCGCTGACATCCAGCTCTGTGTCCTGAAAAAAAAAAGCCTCTCAACTTCCTTTGGTGTGTGTGTGTGCTCGCTGGCATGTTGTATATACGATCATTTCCTCACTTGTTTAAATAGTGCAGCTTGTGTTGGCAGTGCTCTCACTCAACTCCAAATGGTTTGCATCATGCTTAAAGCACCCTCCTCCTCCCCCCCCACAACCTCTCCCTGTACCTCCTTCCCCCCAGCCACAAAACTCTGCTCTAGGAAAACAGCCAGAGCTTTTTCCCTTCTCTTAAGGAGGAGAGTGATAAATAGGTGACTGGAGAGATGCAGACACCATGTGTTAACTTACAAAAAAAGCTTTTAGGAATATGGAGCATTCCTCGCTGCCTGGTTTCTATTTTTCTTTTCTAAGGATGTATTTTAACCTGAACTTTTTCTTGACTGTGTGTTTATAGAAAACAAAACCCATTGCCTGTTGTCCTGGTGGGGACTGTGAAACTCTTAGTCTCTGCTTAACATTTGGCTCTTTGGCCAGGTTAGGAAAGTAGGGCTGACCCTTCTGCTTCAATTCATACTCCAGGCTGGGGAAGTAGCACCCACAGACATTGGGAGCAGACTCGCCTGTGCTGAACCAGGCATCCCTGTGACTGACCTTTCTGCAGAGTTTTTAGCATCACATTTCCTAGGAAGAGGCCTTTGGGGAAGAGTCTGCAATGGCTCCTCAGGAGGAATTTTTTTGACCTAGATAAAGTATATAGGGAGATATAGGTAGATTTTTTTTTTTAAGTCATATAGTAAAGAACTAAATTCCAAACACTGAAACTAGGACATATTTTATATTTGATATAGAAATTTTACGACTTTAAAATGTATATTATGGATAAACAAAATGAAGAAAAAACTAGCCTTCTATTCCCTCTATTCAGACTTAATTTTTGTTAGTCATACATACTAATGTTTAACCTATAACTTCTAGAATATATACACACATACTTCAAAAAAAATACTGGGGTCATATTATGCATACTATTTATTATCTGCTTTTTTCACTTAAATTATTTTTGATGATTAGTCACATGGAATCATTTTTGATGACTGCTTAATATTGTTCTATGTGCTGTGATTTCTTTAGTCTTTGCTTTACTGATCCAAGAGTAGGCCAATTTTTACACTATTATAAACAGTGAAGTGTTTCCTCATAGCAGAATCTTTGCATGTATTTCCTTTAGTTGGCTGTTGGACTATCCTGAAGCAGAAAGAGAAGAAACTTAAGTTTCAGGCTTCCTAAAACCTATCTTCTCATCAACCCTTCCAGCTGCAGTGTCAGTGTGTCATATGTACATCCACACAATACAGTATATGATTTGGCCAGAGAAGAACACAGAGCTAGCAGTTCATGCTTTTAACCTGTAGTGATGATTCATAGGTGCCCAGGGCACTTACTGCTCATTGAAACTGTGGTAGAGCTCCCTTTCAAGGGCCGTGAAATGGGTATGTTACACATACTATTTCCAAACTGAGTTCTGAAATTTCTATCCCCTAACCCTGCTTTTTCTTCTCTTCCCCAAAGTTTGTTTTTTTTTTTCAGTCTTCCCATATTGGCAGTTGACATATTTTACTTTGGATTGCCCATTCAAAATCTTGGTGCTTCTCTCTTGTTCCCTCACACCTCCATTTGTAGTCCATCAGTAGATTGTTTTTTGCCTTCAAAATAAATATAGGTACAATTGCTTACCTCTGTACCTTAATTAGAGTCACTGAAATGCCTTCTAGCTGGTTTCTCTAGTTCCTCCCTCCTCCCCTCCTACTCTGCAGTCTATTTTCAACATCGCAACTGGAATTGTCTTTTTTTTTTTTAAAGATTTATTTATTTATTCACATAGAACTGGGGTACAGGCCAGAGATGCGGAGTGTGAGAGGATTCACCAGAGGCAGAGAGGGGAGCAGAACAGGCAGATCTACGAAGCACACTGCTAAGGGGAGCAGCGGGAAGGTCAGGAGAGGTCTGCCACGCCATGTGGATCTCCTCCGGGGCAGGCGGAGATCGAACTCATTAGGAAGTGGCTTAAGCTTCTTTGTGCTGTGCTTTAACCCGCTGCGCCACCAGGGAGGGCCCTGGAATTGTCTTTTTAAAACATCAATAAGATGACATGCCTTTCCGTTCAAAACCTTTAATGGCTGCTCTTCTCACTTGGAGTAAAAGCCAAAGTTGTAACAATAACCTCCAATACCTTCAGTAATCTGATGCCACCTCTACACACGTATATACACACTTCTGCACGTCTGACTTAGTACCTGCTGCTCTTCTCCTACCACTATATTTTATTTACTGCAGCATCCTTGCTGTTCCACAAACACTTATGCCTAAGGGTCTTTGCACTTGCTTTCCCCTTAACCTGGAACACCCTGAACCAAAATAGCTGTGTGGCTCTTTTACTTCCTTCTAAATGTCACTTTGTTAGAGAGGTCTTCTCTGACTACCCTGACGTTTTATAAAGTGGTGTCTGCCTTTCTTTCCATTTTACTCTGCTATTTTCTCCATAACAGGAAAAAATAACATACTTCGATTACCTAGCATTTATCAGTTGCTGTACTAGATACTTCCCTGCAGTACCTCATTAAGTTCTTACAGTAATCCTATCAACAAAATATTAGTAAAATACTTGGTTTTATAAAAGAGATGATTGAGACTCGAAAGAAGAGTGAAGAATGATGATAGACCCATCTGGGTCATCTCTGTGGCTGACCTAGATTAGTATGGATGTGTCAGAGGGAATCTTTAGGAACTCTTGACCTTTTAGAAATCTCAAAAAGACATTTTCTTCAGGTTCTAGTATTCACTATTAAGAAATGTAAAATATCCTGAGGACTCCCCATAGCAGCAACATGAGCAATTTTGTTGCTGTTTGGTATTAGTCACATGTCCTATCCAGTCTTGAGGTTCATTCAGCAGGTATATGCTGAGAATATCTGTATCACTCTGCCCTGCAAATTCAGCACGCAAGATCCAGACTTGTATTCTCCTAGTTTGGGAGATAGTTTGTGGCATATATAAAAATGTGAGAAACAACATAAGTCATTTTGAACTTATAACAAGGAGGAGTTTTGAAATTTTATTGGACTGGATCCGCATCTGCACAGAGGCATTGTGAAGGATCACTAATTTAGCATTGATGTATCATTGTATTTCCCGCACACTTTCTAAGAACTGTAATTTTATAGGTTCTTCATTGATAGGTGAAAAGAAGTGTTTTTATGATCATTTAAGTTAGATAAGCAATGTTAAATAAAACAATTACTGCAAGACTTATTGGAGCATTTAATGTGTATATATTGTGAGAAGGTTAGCCTTTGCAATCTTTCCCAAACTTAAGTCACCCTTGATCTTTTTGATTTACTGAATGTCTTGAAGAATTAGTATTCTTTCTAAGATAAACAAACCACAGTAGAAATTCCAGGTATGGGGCAAGCAAGAGGAGAGAAAACAGATTGCCATTGGAATTGTCCAGAAGTGAGATTAGAAAACACAGATGAGGATTAAAGTAGTAGAGTGGAGCTAACTGCATTTGAAGAGGGAAAATCACAGATGTTGAAACCAATTAGAGCCAACCAGGGGAAAGAATGTGGCTATTAAGTACCTAAATTCAGAGGTTAAGTAGTTTATCTGAGGTCTTGTAGCTGGTAAGGAAGTACAGGATTAGAACCCTTGTCTGTATGACTTTAAAACTCATGTTCAGTTGAATGATTTGCTGTCTACTTTGCTCCAAAATAATATATAGACTGGAGGGGTAGTTAGGAGTTTAAATGAAAGAAAATAAAGGCCAGATATCTATCATTGTAAAATCTAAATATTGGATATACTGAGTTCATTATTGTATTTTGCTTTTGTAAATGTTTGAAATTTTCCATAATAATGGTTTATAATAAGTAGCTATCCTGAAAACAGAGCAAATAAAATTCATTTTTTTCTGCCACATTGGTTTTTAAGTGATTATTGAAAGTGATTACTTGAAAAATAATCAAACCATAATAATAGTGATAAATTTAAGCTCTTGTAGTTATATTCCAGCTACCACGATAAACTCTTTACATGTATTTTCTCACTAAAACTACAACAGCCCTTTAGGCATACTTGGATAAATGATGAAAAGAAAGTTGTTATATAATGTGCTTTAGTCAGTAGCAGAAAGTTTAATTATCGCCTTCAAAATATACTAGTGATTATATATCCATAGGTGATATTAAATAAGGATCTATCGAGTGATAGACCCTATCTTTTCTTAGGCTCCAGAGCTCTAGTTATTTAATGTATACCACAGCATTAATGTCACACATAGATAGAAGCAGTCCTCATTCTAACTCCTCCATGTAGATTAACCTGTGGTCTTTGTCTTCTTCCCCATATTGTCTGACCAAAGACCAAAGTGAAGAAACTTTTCAACAAATTATTGTGGGACCTCTCTTTGGTTTGACTAGAAATATGTGTCAAATTATAAGGTCATATTATAAATCTTATTTTATATCCCATTTATTTTTGCTTTGTATCTGAATTTAGGGTCCCAGAAAATTACTAATTAAAAATGCCTTGTTGCAGTTAAATATGAGACTTAAAATTGTCTAATTTTTGGATCTACTGGCTTGTCTGCTTGTTTATTTGTTAAATGACATTTCTTCAAGTTTGTTGTGCTTATAATTACTAACAGTATGTTTTATTTATTTTTTTAAAGATTATTTATTTATGCATATAAGAACTAGGGTATAGGCCAGAAGTGCAGGGGTGAGAGGATTTACCAGAGACAGAGTGAGAAGCAGAGCAGGCAGACCTACTGAAATACACTGCTGAGGGGAGCAGCGGGCAGGTCAGGAGAGGTCTGC